GAAAAGCCATTTGACCAACGTCATCACCGTGTGTGAAGACTAAATCTAAAAGAGAAGAAGGGTTTCATAAGTTGTATCTTGTAGGATCTTTAATGTGTTGAAATAATGCTAGTCCAACTGAGGTTTCTAACAGTTTGCAGTCAAACGACGATATCGATGACCCTACTTCTAAGTTAACCCAGTTTATATGTGTTGCAATTAAGTCTCCTACTACAAGGCTTTTACCGCTGTTACACCAGGACTTAAGTTTACTTAGGAAAAAATCATCTGCTACACATTCTGGTCTGCGATATACTACAACTACAATATCTTGCTGTCGACATTTCAACTTACATCTCACCAGTTCACATGTCCCTGAGACATGTGCTACTGTCTCAGCTAATCTTATGGTTAGGGTGCTTTTCGTGTACAGAATAACCCCGTCTCCTCTTCAGTTTAATCTGTCAGCCCTACTGTTTATGAAACCAGTCAACTGGATTTCACTATCTTATACTTCTGACGTTAACCAAGTTTTCGAGACATCAATAACGTCCGGTTTTTCTTTATCCACCAATGACTTGAGCTCCGCCATTTTATTTAGTAGGCTGCGAGCATTTGTGTAGCATACCTTTAAGTCTAAGGAGAGCTTTCCCTTGCCGCCCAGAGTGGCTTGAGGATCGTTTTCCTCCGAAAGTTTACAATTTGAAAATCCTTAAGAACGAGGTTTCTTTCACCGTTTTAGCGACGCTCCTTTATTTCCGCTTCTGAAGCTCGTCTCTTAATACGATCAGCTAGACTGAGATCCTCACGGACATATATTCCGGATCCAAACAGTTTACTTGAATTACTTAGAATTAGGTTCCTTTCTTCCACCGTGTTGAATGTAACGTTTAGGAGGTGGTTTTTCTGAGGACTTTCGGAATACACCTTTTTTCTATTCTATAAAGCTTACAAATACTAACTCCTGAAAGTGTATCTGGGAGTAGTTTACTTAATGATGTCTTAATATGATTGAGATCATGTTCAAATCTTGCCTTTGGTTCTGTATATGAAGATTATCTTATCTTATCAAAAATGACTGATCTCTCAGACAGATCTGTCTTGTAACGCAGAGAGGATTTTTTTTCTGATAACATCCCTTTCAATGCCTTGCTGACCAGCTGCGTTTTGCCCACAGCCTTTTTCTTCCCATTTCTTTTTCTCCTTACTAAAGTCCATTTGTCACCACTCAGGACTGCCACCCCTGGACTATGTGGAACGGTGACAGTTCTATCCGGATCTTCTATTTCGACTAGAGGTGTATGACTGCCGATGTCAATATCAAGCGACACTTCATTACTCGTAAATGTCAACTGAGATTTCACGTTCCCGTCAACCGCAGTCAGGTGTATTACGGGTCCAGTAGCGGAACTTACTACACTGACACATTCTTCACCGTCAGTGCTCTTGCTTCCGCGATCGTTTTTCTTGCAGGCCATGGCCAATTGGCCCATAGCCTCCTGAATTAATATCTTTTTATCCGTACAGCAGAAAATACAAAGCCAATGGGAGTTAGGCTTCGAGCATCTTTTGTAAGCCGTCGGACTTAGGCGTGTACATATTTTGTGGTACCACTTTTTACAATCGTCACACTGCATTCCCTCCTCAACGGGGAACAAACAATTGGGTTGCCCACATTTGTGAGTCTTACCAACCATTGTAATTCGATTTAAAAGGTTTAAAAACACAAAATGATCACAATGTGAACACAAGTGTTAGTCAAGGCGTACAAAAAAGTACTCAGGACAAAATTTAGCAAAAAATTTCATACTTCAGCCAAAGTACTTTTAGTTAAACTAGACCATGAATGCTTTTTAGTGCAATAAATACCCAAAGCAAGTATTATTAAAACAAGTTCAAAAATCAACATGAGAAGATGACGGGATGCCAATCATCAACATCCATCGACGTCTTGGACGATGGGCAGAATTCTTCGAATGGTAGTTCAACTGGCCTGCTGCTCCGGCAACATCGGTCAGACTGTCCTACCCTCTATGGCCGGTGACGACTGATCCACCAAATGAGGCGGAAGTCCGCAAGGAACTCCAACTCTTGAAGCGCTACAAATCACGGGGTCCAGATGACTTACCTCCGGCTCTTTTTAAAGATGGTGATGACTTTCTGGCTAAGGAATTGACGAAGTTGTTTACAAAGTTCTGGGAACTAAAGAGTGTATCAACGTCATGGAATGAGTCGATAGTTGTCCTTATATTTAAAAATGGTTCACATCGTTGTTGTAACAAGTATCGGGGGATAAGTCTACTTCCGATTAAGTCCAAGCTATTGGCTTCCGTCATACTTCGTAGGTTGTTCAAAACCTGAGAAAGATTGACTCGCGAGGAGCAGGCTGGTTTTCATTCTGGTCGAGGATGCGTCGATCATATGTTCACGCTCCACCAAATGTTGGAACACCGTCATATTTATCGAAGGCAACAATCGTATTGTTTCTTGACATTTGGGCTGCCTTCGATTGGTTGGACAATACTGTCCTTCTTTATCAAGTTTATAAGTTGTGCTAATTCCAAGGTTGTATATAAACCATGCATCGGAGAAATAAAACTTTAGACGACCGTTCATGTTCTGATGCCTCACAAGGCGAAACAGTATATGCGATAGTCTCTATTTAAAGTATCGCCTATGCTGAAGAGATTTATTGACTTCATGTCTTGCTGATGTTTGTTTTTTATTTACCACAGCTCTGTTTGGAACATAAATGTTTCGCATCTGCTGTTTTGTAACAAACAAAGAAGTCGCATGACAGTACAACCTGCAAATTTCTGTAAAATATTCCCAATATTTTTTATGTGTAGCAGCGGAAGTAAAGTATTACTAGTCGCTGGACTTGGACAAAGGCAAACCTTCAAATTTTAGGTTGCCGAAAGAAAACTTCCAAAATGCCAGACCAAAGACAGTGTGTAACCAAAATGTCCGAGCTCAATGTTATAAACATATGTGTTCGAAAGTTGAGTAGAACTAATGCATCGAAAACAGTGAAATTAATAATGTAATAGTCTTTAATCAGTTAAATAATTTCAGTTCTGTAACACTCAAGGTGAAACCACTAGCTACTGAAATGTTGACCATCTTGTTGCTCTATGTGTTTTAATTGCACCCTAGTGAAGTGCAAAAACATAGCTAGGGATGCATCCTGTTTCCATAATATACAACGTTATCATTACGACTCTAATCATCACAGTTTTCTTCAGTTTTCCCCCGTTTTCGATCACCTAAAGTTGTACAACAAACCCGTTGAAAACCTAACGCGCACAAAACTCCTCTAAAACATTTCCCTCCATGCTGTTCGAAGCTCACATAGGTGATAACATGACGGTAGTAATAAAAATGATGAATTGTTGCCCGATTCGAAAAATTATCCTATTTGTTGAGGGTTAGTTCTTCGTCCGATGTTTGGTATTACGTTTCGGATTAGCCATAGCGCCGAAGATATAGGCGGTATATCGATCAAATTCCATACCGCTAAAATGTTATTCACCTTTACAGGTATGCGCGTTTTTCATGGTTGCTCTTTTGGTGGTCGTCCTTATGATGGATAACCCTTTAATTGTTTGCCTTCATCGGTGCGTGACTGTTTTGAGCATGTTTCGTTCCACTTGCCCGTTTGCAACATTCATTTTACGCTCGTCCCGGCTGATTTTACATCACACATGCATCTTCCTCGCAACAGAAAGACAGTGTCATTTGTCATGTCACTACTTTAATAAATAAATCAGATATTTTAACGAATAATGTTGAATTTTTTAAAATCCTACGACTATACATGAATATTTGTGTTTATCATTCTACATGTAGGAATGTGGTACACAGAAAATGCAGTGGTGGGACGCGGGTTAAAAAGGTGAGTTTTATGGTTTGCAGATGAGTCTTGTAAATTTTAGATACAATACAATAAGTTCTCAAGCTAAATTTCTACATTATAGGTATTGAACAAGATTTATTTTATACAATCTGAACTACAACGTTCATGATTCATTCATTCGGACATATACCTTGGTTTGTGCATAAATATGTATGTGAACCTATATATGTATGCCTCAGTCTTACATACGTATCGTACCATTTTTATATTCTATGTATTGTTCTGCTGGTGGTATCTCAATTATTTTTCAAAGGTTCTTATGCACCAGAACACCGTAACAATCACTGTGGGGCAGATGATGATGTGACTTCAGAGTAAGATCAAACAGACTGGCCATTACGAGGCAATAAATTTACACTAGGTTCATTAGTTTATCGGCATACATGAACCAGACCTAAATGACCACAATTTACCAAGTATGCCCATCCCGTAAAATTAAAAGTCAGAAATGAAGTAGTTCGAAGATATATTTGGAAGATTATTAACGTATAGCTAAGCGTTTAGTTTAACCTGGATAAAAGTTGTGAATGATGCGTATAACGGTGTACTCACCTGTGTTATGTTGCGGACGTGTGATCGAGCGCCTTAAGGCCAGTGTATCCAATAGAACTAATGAGATCGACATAAATGTTGAAGACTTATAGAGCTATTTATTTTCGTCTACAAGTTTGGGCTAACAACCCCTGCAGTATGAAATTGAGCTTTCGAAAATCTCAATAATACACTTCTGTACTTTCAAAGTGTCGCATAGCAAGACCTCGCGACGACTCTAACAAAAAGAACTTAGACATTTTGTATAGTCTCGTGGGTAATGAAATAGTTTACGCAATATGTAACTCCACTATCACTCTTCCCATTACTAAATATTGTTTTTGTTCAGTGGATTTTTAAGGAAATATAGCAATAAAAATATATCCTTCCGAAACTTAAAATATCATTTTTCTATCTAGTAGTAGCCTGTGAGAGGCAAACTGCTTCACAAAGTTTGGGGTTTGAATTGCACCAAAGCATTTATAAATAATCTGTCCTTCAAGTGCTCCTTTAGTCGCGGGCTATTCGACAGTGTTTTCAAATGGTTAGTTCTTTTAGTTTTTTCAAAAGTTACCTAATATCTTGCAGTATAGAAGTGGCTCTAAATGCTCCGAGTATTTAAATTATTAAGTAGCCACTAAACAACGGTCATTAGATCATATCAATGTAGCAACTTGGGGACACGAATGAGTAGTCACGCGCTTTTTGTTTCGATTGAACTGTCAAAGCTATACATATGGTATATGGTCTTATCTCACGTAGCACGTAAGTCCTAACGCCTCCAGAAAAGTCGGGGGATAACGTAAGCGCCTAGCATGGTCTCATGTTTGAAATATCACATGTTAACTAGCTCGTTATTTACTGTTCTTAAATATATAATCTCGGTGATAATCTTCAAAACAGTGGTGTAAGAAGTCCATTCAAGAGTTCAAAGAGCCTTGTGATGGTTGTTACGAGTAATTTAATAGCTCTTCAATGTGTTTTCCAACCACCATGCCAGATTGGGACCTCGATCCACCTATTTTGTATTGTCGCTGAGATTATAATTTATGGACGACGTTTGAGCGACGCTAGACTAACCTTGAAAGTGTCCGCCTACAGACCAGGGCCAAATGAGGGTAATAAAGGAGTTTGAAGAATAAGGATTATGATTTACAGTTGATGGTTTAGGTTAGGGATTAGATTTAGGGTTTTCATCGCGAACTGACATAAGCTATAATGCCAAAACTCTATTTAGTCAAACGACTGAATGAATTTCGCGCCAAAATCTAAGACCTGTTAACGTAAATCCGATTGGTTCGTCCATAAATTATAGTCTCACCGTATTGTCAATAAGAATTTTGGTTCGGTCAGTTCTCGACAAATGACTCGTATTAATATTTGAGATTCAAAGTTCTTCACGTAAGTGGAAGGCGATGGAAGTACGAAAACGCTAGTTCTCAGTTGTCCATAGTAAATTATATATAAATAATAAATCACATAAATAAGGATTTTCAAATGCTATTTAATAATAATTGGGTGTTTGTAACCCACTTAGTAGGTCTCAGACCACTTAGAGACAAACGAAGACTATAAATTCCAATCAATATCTCGTAACGTCAATTTGTGCTTCATGTTATCAGTTTTAGGATAGGGTAAATAAGTTTTGGCATCAGAACTTCAGTTTGACATACCCAAGACTTTGCTCATTACCACCAAGTTCAGTATGACTGTTTCTGTCTCATTGTTTAGCTTTTCCCCAGTACTTATGATACCGATATGTTTGTCATGTATCATACAAAATCTCACTTTTTCAACATTACATCGATTTAAATACGTTGGTATGCACTTGGCTAGCGTAAAAATAGTTTGGAAAAAGATTGGAGATTACTAAACAAACACAAGAAAAGTTTAAAACGCTCCTATGAATTAGATTCAGTCAGGAAGGACCAGACTTCCCATTTATCTGCAAGATTATCATAATCTTTAGTTGAAAGTGTTAGGTAGCATGCCGCAAACCTATTCTAACGGCACCTATGTATTCATTCATTATCTTGTACTGAGTAGTAAACTTGTATTATCTAATAACCCTCATTTTTATGTTTTACTCAACTTTGGTTTGGGCACCCGGGCAGTATCCCAGCCCTATCACACACCGAATATTTCATGTGGCGCATATCTGTTTGGTGCCTACTTGTGCCAATGTTTGTGTTTAAATAAATAAGTAACTTTTCCACCATATTTGGCATTATTTTCATTGCTTCCTTTTTCTTATCGATTTTCCAAGTTATACCAGTGTGAGAAATAACAACTTGTTAAGATTTCATACCTTCGTCATATCCCACCTGATTCTTACCACTTGCGCTCATTGATTTTGTTACTGATTCAGAGTTTTTCTCATCGTTTTATCGTATTTGCAGATATAACAATCTGGTTTTTATCCCTCTTTCGTCCTGCGCCCTTATCTTCTATCTATTCGTCCTCTCTGTGCTAATATGAGATATAATTAATAAAATAGATATATGTCCGTGCCAATATATCTGTCACCTTTGTTTTACATTCCGCTTAGTTTCTGAATTATCTTGTAAAAATGGGTTGAATAACAGGTCTATAACGAGGATATTCACATAAATAGTTCACGTAGCAATTCGTCGCATAATAACATCTATTATTTTATATTTCTATGGGTCCTTACTAACTGTTATTGTTTATTCTTGCAGACTAAAGTCAATCAAGAGTCATTGGAGGGTTACAATCCTTTTTCTGATCCTACCCCAAGTAAGTGTGATGAGATTATGGTGGTAGACTTTTCTGTTGTTGGGCTTGTTTCAATACATAACTCATCAGTTCGGTTTGTTCTCATTAAGTTTTTCGACGTTACTATTGACACTGGTTAATTCGATTGCTAGGAATTCACTAAAAATTAAAATTCTAGGACTGGCTATGCTAATAACTACTTCGATCGATTTTTCATATTTCCTAGTATTTCTTTCTGAGCGCATGAAGTTTGGTTTGGTAATAATACTTTACACATCTATTACTCAACGATAATCAATATTATATTCCAGTTATCAGTTCTGTCCTACTTATAATAGAATTATGTTGTATAATCCAGGTGATGATTATAAATTTGGTTTAAGTGTATTTTTCCTCACATAAATTTGTAAGATCGTGAAGTTAATTAATACTTTCCACTAAAAACATTACCAGCAAACTAATATTTTGTGACAGTAGTTTTAGCTATGTACTGTAAGGTCAGGAGCCTATAGTATATTTAATCTATGTAGCGTATTTCTGTAAATATTTGGTTTAAATTGTACTTGCGACACAAGTTACTCTCTGTAATGCTTATCTTCAGTTTGATCATGTTTTACTCCTTGTATTCACCGACTGCCCTGAAGAGCGCTGTTTTATGGTATAGCAGTAGGTTGGAAGAAAGCTAGGGGCGGCCAGACCAAAACATGACACAAATCCATGAAGTCATCGACAAGTGAACTGAGACATGGTAGGTGTAGACTACTTGGTTGGGATCCGCGAGACGATAGCAACCGGTGGTTAGAGACCTTAAATTATATGGTTCAAAATCGTTTGTAATGGCGCAGGTGCATCCATTGTTTGTTTCTAATCTTCTGAATTCCTAATATCCCTTTCTTTTTTTCTCTTTCCAAATTTATTTCACTGGATTATACTCCTTGAATAACATCTTCAAACCCTAGTGTTTCCGATTACTGGTTATACTTTCACTACCTCTACCACAATGGGATTTGAATCGACAATTGTATCTATGTGCTGATGTGGTATGACAACTTGAACTGATGTATGTACGTGCGATATTCTACGTTGCTGCTGACTGACTCCTTATATCCTCATTTATTCTCTCTAGTTTATTTTATGAAGCTGTGACTCAGTAGTCAGAGCATTTAGCTTTCAGTCAGTAGATCATTAATTCGAAGGTTATTCCAGCATCTGATTACTACCCTTATCCCCGAAACCAAAAAGAATGTATGGTTTTAAGTTGAGTGGATGAAGTTGTACTTGACAAGTGATTTACGGATCTAACTTATAAGGGACTTATCTAATTTAATTGATTAGACTAGATGAAAATCCTTATTACTTGGGGAAATAAACTGTTGTTAGCGAGATAAAATTGGAATAAAGCATTTTTCATGAAGAATTGTGTTGGGTCACATTGATTGGGCATTTTGTAGCTAATCAGCGCCAGCAGATACTTGCAGAAGACTTTAATATATTGTGTAAGATAATAAATATACTAACGTTCTCCTTATTGCGATCCCTACTTCCATTCAGCCCTTGTTTACTTGGAATATAATTGCGTTCCTGTTAAACTTTTTTCTGATTTGGTGACTTGTCAAGTGAAATGGTGTCCAAAGAATACTAAGCAATAAGAGTAGCTGGGCTGTAATAATAGGGGTCATAACAGCTGTATATAGCAACTAAATGTAACTTCAATATAACTTGGTTCTTATTTTATTAGGTAATTTATTTACTACTACTACTGCTTACTACTTACGCCTGTTACTCCCAATGGAGCATAGGCCGCCGACCAGCATTCTCCAACCCACTTTTTCCTGGGCCTTCTTTTCTAGTTCCATCCAATTCTTGTTCATTTTTCTCATGTCTATTTCCATTTCCCGGCGTAATGTGTTCTTCGGTCTTCCTCTTTTCCTTTGGCCTTGAGGATTCCATATGAGGGCTTGCCTTGTGACGCAGTTGGGTACTTTCCTCAATGTGTGTCCTATCCACTTCCAGCGCTTCTTCCGCTGGGATCTGGTTTGTTCTCTCCCACAGTACGTTGTTGCTAATAGTGTCCGGTCAACGGATCTGAATTGTTTTGCGTAGAAAACTGTTAATAAACACCTGTATTTTCTGGATGATTGCTTTCGTGGTTCTCCAAGTTTCCGCCCCATACAGTAGAACTGTCTTGACATTTGTATTGAAAATCCTGACCTTGGTGTTGGTTGACAGTTGCTTTGAGTTCCAGACGTTTCTCAGTTGTAAATATGCTGCTCTTGCTCTACCGATACGCGCCTTCACATCTGCATCAGATCTACCATGTTCATCAATGATGCTGTCCAGATATGTAAAGGTTTTTACAACTTCCAAATCGTTTCCGTCAATTGTTATTGAATTGGTGCATGCTGTGTTGTATCTGAGAACCTTACTCTTCTCTTTGTGTATATTAAGACCTGTTGCTGCTGAGGCTTCTGCTACACTGGTCGTCTTCTCCTGCATTTGTTGTTGCGTTTGCGATAGGAGGGCTAGATCATCTGCGAAGTCTAGATCGTTCAACTGAATCCTAGATGTCCATTGTATCCCGTGTTTTCCTTCAGATGTTGACGTCTTCATGATCCAGTCGATCACCAGGAGAAAGAGAAAGGGTGATAGTAAGCAACCTTGCTTGACACTGGTCTTCACTTCGAACGACTTTGTCAACTGTCCATGCACGATTTTGCAGTTTAATCCATCATATGAATTCTGTATGATATTGACTATCTTTTGAGGCACGCCGTAGTGTCGAAGAAGCTTCCATAATGTTGTCCTGTCCACGCTGTCAAATGCTTTTTCGTAGTCAATGAAGTTGATGTAGAGTGATGAATTTCATTCAATTGATTGTTCCACAATGATCCGTAGAGTTGCGATTTGGTCTGTACACGATCGATCCTTACGGAATCCTGCCTGTTGGTCACGAAGTTGGGCGTCTACGCAGTCCTTCATCCTGTTTAACAATACTCTGTTGAAGACTTTTCCCGGTATTGAGAGAAGAGTGATGCCCCTGTAGTTATCACACTTGTTGAGATCGCCTTTCTTCGGTATTTAGATCAGAAGTCCTTCTTTCCAGTCTTTTGGTACTTGTTCCTCATCCCAAATCTTATTGAAGAGAATGTGGAGTATCCTTGCAGTTGCCGCTACGTCTGCTTTTAGTGCATCTGCTGGAATGTTGTCTGGTCCTGCTGCTTTGCCACTCTTGATTTGCCTGATGACTATGCTTATCTCTTCAATTGTTGGTGGGCCAGCATTGATTGGGAGGTCCGTGGGTGCTGCTTCGATGTTGGGTGGGTTCAGTGGGGCTGGTCGATTCAAGAGTTCTTTGAAGTGTTCTACCCACCTGTTTTGTTGCTCTTCAATGTTGGTGATGACCTCGCCTTCCTTGCTTTTCACTGGTCGTTCAGGTTTGCGGCGATTTCCAGAGAGTTTCTTTGTTATGTCATACAGTTGTCTCATGTTCCCTTCTCTTGCAGCCTCTTCCGCCGTCTTTGCTAGATCTTCCACATATTTACGTTTGTCGGTTCTGATACTTCTCTTCACTTGTTTGTTTACTTCTGTGTATTCAGCTTGTGCCTTGGCTTTTTCTGCTCTTGTTCGGCTGGTATTGATTGCTGCTTTCTTGTTCCTCCTTTCTTGAATCTTATCCAGTGTATCAACTGTGATCCATTCGTTGAGCCGTAGATCTTATTGCATCATGGCTCAAAGAACAGATAATGGCGACCGTCTGTTGCAGCTATGCTCGGATAACCGTCTCTTTCTTGCAAATACTAACTTTAAGCATAAGGAAAAACATCTTTTAACATGGAGACCCCCTAATTCGTCCCAACGTTGGGCCCAAATAGATCACATCGCTATCAGTCACCGATGGAGGGGCTCTATAGAAGACTGTCGCTCATTCTGGAGCACATGCTTAGATTCAGATCACGCTCTAGTACGAGCGCGTATCTGTCTGCGTCTTACTGGACGTAGGAAAGACGCTGCAAGTAAACCTCTTAGGGCCCTACTTAATGATAGTCAAGCTAAGAGTATATTTCAGGAACAACTAGGAAAACAGTTAGGCAGCCATGTATGTGATGCCCACTCCGAGGCAGCATGGAATGATATCCGAAAAGCTGTGGAAACAGCAGTGATATCTGCTAGTACGGTAACCCGTAAGGTTAGGGAACGACACTGGGTCTCAGCAGCATCTATCGCACTGATAGATGCTCGGAAACTCATTCCACCTGGCTTTGAACATAATGAAGAGCGGAGTCAGCTTAAGTGCAAGCTGACAAGAAGCCTGCGCAATGATCGCGAACAGTGGTGGGTAGCGAAAGCAAGAGAGATGGAAAAGGCAGCGGCAATAGGTAATAGCAGACAATTGTTCAGACTTGTTAAGGAAACCGGTATTAGGAAACCGACTGCTAGTGAAACACTCTCAGAGAAAGATGGACATATTATACGCTCTCAATCCAGGAGATTGGATCGATGGGCAGAACACTTTAGGGATCAGTTCAACTGGCCTTCAGCCACACTTCGATTTCCCACGATCTCTAGTCAACCTGAGTGGCAAGTTAATGTAGGTCCTCCGTCTCTTTATGAAGTTGAAAAAGCCATAGGAAATCTGAAGCGAGGGAGAGCAGCAGGCCCTGACAGATTTACTCCTGAGATTTTTAAGGATGGTGGTCCAGTATTAGCAGTGAGATTAACTGAGGTCTTAGGTAGAATTTGGGAACTGGATGTAATCCCATCTGACTGGTCTCAATCACTGATTGTGCCAGTCTATAAGAAAGGACAAATGTCCTCTTGTGACAATCACAGAGGAATCAGTTTGACTAATATAGTGTCTAAAATATTAGCTTCAATAATACTTCAATGCCTAACCAAAGCTCGTGAAGAACAGATTAGAGAAAATCAGGCCGGTTTCCGACCTGGACGTGGTTGTATAGACCAAATATTCACACTACGTCAGGTTCTAGAACACAGACACACGTTTAGACGCCCCACAATGGTAGTATTTCTCGACCTTAAGGCGGCATTTGACTCTGTTGACCGTGAGGTTCTATGGCAGTGTTTGTCACTGAAAGGAGTACCAAAGAAGTACATTAACCTTATTCAGGCTCTCTACTCGAACACAACTGGTAGAGTGAGAGCTTATGGCGAGCTGTCATCAGAATTGATTACCTCAAGTGGTGTTCGTCAGGGTTGTCCACTCTCTCCTTTCTTGTTTAACTTTGTCGTTGACGTGCTTTTAGAGATGACCCTTCCCTCATCTAAATTTCCAGGGGTTGAACTTCTACCAGGAGGTTCACTTGTTGATTTAGAATATGCCGATAACATAGTTTTATTTGTCGAAGACGCTGATAAAATGCAGAGTCTTCTGACCACTCTAAGCAGCAATGCAAGCATGTTCGGGATGCGATTCTCTCCCTCGAAATGCAAAATGTTGCTTCAGGTTTGGGTTGCATCGACACCCGAACTAATGATAGGGAGTGAAGTAATTGAGCGTGTTGACCGCTTCGCTTATCTTGGAAGTCTCATCAACCCTTGTGGTCTGGTATGTGACGAAATCTCAGCACGGATACAGAAGGCTCGACTAGCTTTTGCCAACCCTGAGTCATTTATGGCGTAGGCGAGATATCCATCTATCAACCAAAGGAACGGGTTTACTGCGCAGCAGTTCGTTCCGTCCTACTTTATGGAAGTGAAACATGGCCGGTAAGAGTAGAGGATATTCGTAGGTTACTAGTATTCGATCATAGGTGTCTTCGAAATATTGCTCGTATATCCTGGGACCATCGAGTAAGTAATGCAGTTGTTAGGAAACGGGTACTAGGTAAGGATGGCAAATCAATTGATGACATAGTGGAACTTCATTAGTTGAGATGGCTGGGACACGTGTTACGTATGCCCAACGACCGACTGCCTCGACGTGCGATGTTCAGTGTTATAGGAGTAGATTGGAAGAAAACTATGGGCGGCCAGACCAAAACATGGCACGAGTTCATGAAGTCATTGACAGGTGGACTGAGTCATGTTGATAGGTGTAGACTACCTGGTTGGGGACCACGAGATGATAGCAACCGATGGTTAGAAACCTTGAATGACATGGCTCAAAATCGTTTGCAATGGCGCAGGTGCATCCACTCTTTGTGTTCTCCCAAATTTTGATCTCCTGATTCCCCCTTGTCTCTTTTTATTCTCTTCCCAAGTTTATTTCACTGTATTATACTCTTTGAGTAACATCTCCGAACACTAATCTTTCCAATTACTGCTTATACTCTCATTGCCTGTACCACTACGGGATTTGGATCGACCACTGCATCTCTGTGCTAATATGGTGTGGCAACTCGAACTGATGTACGTACGTACGAAGTTCTACGTTGTTACTGACTGACTGACCTTGTGATGGTGCTTCTTGTGACCCATGACCTCATGACATGTTGAAGTGATTGTCTCTTTGATCCCCATCGTTGCTCTCCATAGTAGTTCCTTCTCCATTGAGTAGATCATGAAAAGCCTAGAATTTATTTCTGAGGACTATCTTGAATTTGTTGAGTTTGTCAGTATACCGAAGAAAAGCCGTATTGAACTTTGGTGATATCGTCCCCCCCGTTTTCCAGTACTTCTTGAGTTTCAATTTCATCTTGGTGACCAGCAAGTGATGATCTCTTGGTTCTCACGTCCTCTATAGTCCTCCTGAACGTTTTGTTGATCCAAATATGGTCGATTTGGTTTTGCGTGGTGTGATCCGGTGAAGTCCATGTGGCTTTATGAATGCGTTTGTGTGGGAATATGGTGCAGCCAATGACCAGTTTATTAAAGGCACATAGGTTTGCAAATCTCACCATTTTCGTCCCTTTCTCTCAGTCCGTGTTCTCCCATGATGTCTTCATATCCAGTGCTGTTCGTTCCAACCTTGGCATTGAAGTCTCCCATCAGAATGGTCAGGTCCTTTGTTGGGCACTTCTCGATGATTGACTGCAGCCTATTGTAGAATTGATCCTTAGCGTCTTCATTGTGGTCGTTGGTAGGCACATAGCATTGGATATTGTTCATTGTAATGCCCTCTTTCTTTGTTTTGAAGGAGGCTTTAATGGTCCTTGGTTCATGAGATTACCATCCTATAAGTTCTTTTTGTGCTTGTTTGGACAGCATCAATGGAACTACTTGTGTATGTGGGACATTTTCTTCTTCATGGCCGGAGTATAACAGAAGCTCTCCTGAAGTTAGTCGTTGTTGTCCAACTTGCGTTCAATGTGTTTCACTGATCCCAAGCACCTCTAGGTTGTATCTCCTCATTTCTGCAACAATTTGGAGGGCTCTTCCGGTGTCCCACATTGTACGAACATTCCATGTACCTAAATAAATGGTTGCTCTGGTTGTCAGAAGTGGCATCGGCCTCGTAACTTCCGAAGGAATTCGGCTTTCATCATGAGGCGTCATAGTTCTAAATGACGACTTTCTGACTCCCAGGGCAGAGTTTAAAAGGTTTGAATAATTTTTTCTGGTTAGCGTTTTTTTAGCGAGTTAGTTTTCTATGGGATGGGGTTGCTAACCCCATGCCCAACCCTCCTCCTTTATCCGGACTTGGGACCGGCAGTAGCCCCCGGAGGGACTCCAGGTGGAGTTGATTTATTTACTAGTTTTACTTAATTTTTACTAATCAACATCTGGACTTGAATTTTTAGTTTCATGAAAATTTCTAATGACCACCATTTAGTTCGATAAATAATAACTAGTCGTTAGTTATTCATGAATAGTGTAGTACTCCAAGTGCCCTGGTACGGCCGAAAGTGGGGAGATTCCGCTCTCCCTCTCGAAATGCTCTTACATGGCCACGCGTATATAACCTCTGTCAGGGAAGTCCTACTCACTGCCTTCTCGCACCACAAGTGTTGTTTACGAAATTGAGGAAATGAAACTCAAGTATCCGATGCTTTAACCGGGTTGGTGGACACGGAGGATCCCAGTTAGGGGAGTTGAAAAACCTTGATTCCAAACCAATGGTGCATATAGGCTCCAGTATCCTGAAGGAACAAATGTCGTACGAACCAATCGTTGGTCACCGGTTACCATGGGGCTGCATCTCCTTACGACGCTCTACTGCCTCGTGGATCAGACCTTCAGGTCGAAGGCTCCGAGTGTGGCCCCCTAAGAAAACTACCCGCTTCGGTTCGGGCACCCGGGCAATATCACAGCCCCCACACATATCAAATGAGATTTGTGTGGCGCATATGTATTTGGTGCCTCCTTGTACTAATATTCATATGTTAAAATAAATAAATGGACATAAGTTAAGTTGCTACATTTTTTATCACCGTACAAGAAGAATATTGACGAGATTAAATTTAAGGAAATTAAAACATCAGTCAAACTTATGAACTAGTATGTTCAGGATGTAGACAAAGATAAAAAGATATATGCCACCAAAATCTATTTTAACTCAGGTTTTTACCTAAGGTTCTGGTGCGCTAATTGAAGTTGGAGAAGCGGAGTTTGAATATCCACTCCAACGGTTCGCAGTCGATTGCTCTAATCACTATTATTGATGAGTATAGTACGATTAGGAAGGATAACAACTTGAAGTGCTCCATTACTTTAATGAGTTGGATAAATTGTTTATGTTCATTCTTGTTCTTATCTTATTACTTATGCCCATCCACAACTACCCTGACGCGCGGTGATGGCTGTCGTATGAAGTAGGTTAGAAGAAAATTAAGTATGGGGAAACTAAGATATCGCATCAGTCCTTGAAGACAGTGACTGTTGGACTGAGCCATGTAGGTAGGCGCAGACTACCTGGTTGACATCAAAGTGATGATTGTAACCAATGGTTAGCGACTTTAAGTGACATGCCTGAAAATCATCCCCAACGGTCCAAATGTATTCACTCTTTGTCATGAGTTTCTAGGTTCCTCATAAATTTTTATTTCACTAATTCTTATTTCAAATTATATCTCTGATCCATAATCTTTCATTCATATTAATAATGCTACTCTGGAATTCGCTCTGACAATTTTATCTCGCTGTGCTGATAGGGTGCCGCAATTTGAACCGATGTACACATGTTCCAGGTTTAGGTTGCGTTCGACTCGCTATGTTGATCATAGGTTCGGTGTTCTGAGCTCACTTTGACTGTTAAAATAATGAATAAAATGCTGGTTGATTAATGATGCAAATTATGCCATGCAGTCCACCAGTAGCTGTTTTCTAGACTCAATTTAATGATTTGTCATATTCACTAATAGTGATTAAATGAAGAACAACGATTGAAAACAGGATAATTAATCAAACAACCCTAATAATCTGTTTTGTTATTGAAGCGAAGCACTTCTGCTTTATCTGTGACTTATTAATTAATATTAAGCATCCAACGAAATTTGTTACTTTATCTGTCGACCAGGATTCTGTTAGTCCTAATGGTTCTGTTTCCTTTCCTCCACTCTTTTTTTTCGTTTCTTTCAAAGGATATGAATCTTTAGCACCTGAAACTAACGAATCATCTTCAGATAATCGAAATAAAAATTATGTTTTCGATATTCCCCCACCACCAATACCACCTACGGAAATGTATTCACCATATTCAAAAGCTACGGCTGGTGGTGGTAATGAAAGCGTCTTAGCCTTGGAGCGTAGACAAGCTGAACTTGAAGCTCGTGCAGCCGAATTAGATCGTCGAGAAAAAGAACAACAAGCTCGTGTGAATACAATTCATTCAGGTCCAAGTGAGTTTTGTTTTATATATATATATCTTTTGTTCTCATTTCAATTAATAAGCATAAAATCTGATACAGTAGGTGTTATGACTTGAGATCGCTAATCGATATCACGTGTTAAAATCACCAATCAGAATTCTGACTACAATTTTTTCTATCTCGTGTCAACTATTCCGTTTATAACTCAACGTCCTAGAGTTGACTGATTACACTCTTGACCTTCACAGTTAACCTTGAGTCGACGTGAACTGATTTCATATTGGTTCATTATTCTTAAACCTTTCTCTATTTCATACCTCAAGTCTAAAAGAGAATTCGTACATCAGTCTCTATTATGTTACACTTCAAGTAAGTAGTATGGGTTTATATGTAGATATACTGGACCATATCGCATCATCAAATAAAAAATCACATTCATACATAAACAAACCAAAAGTGTTCACGAATAGGGTAAACTGTATGTAGTAGACTGGCAACAAATTAGTGATATTAAGTCGTATAACAATAGTTAATGGGTTAATTGAAAGTTTATACATTGACCTTAATGATTATGCTACATCAGCTCAACTAGACAAAATTATCTGGACACATCGCAAAGTATTGGAAGTAATAAGAGTATCGGTGATATTAGACAACATCAGACGTATATACAATATGATTCGAGAAGAAAAAACAACTTTACTCAATAAAAACTATGAATATTTTAAGAAGAGAAATGAATGTATCTGTGCTATTACAAATGATTTTCAATTGTCATTCAATGTATTCAGCAGTTGCTTATAATAATCACACAGACTCCAATCAAGTAGTCTGTACGTACGCCTACATGACTCAGTTCAACAATTTAGTAACTTTCATTAAAATCATGGACCGATCAATATCAGACCACTCTTGCAAACCTGGAAGCACTGGACAGCTGTTTTGTCCTAGTGTGAGGCTCCTCAGCGGTGCTCATCCACGATTGGTTGACGTTAAACATTAACTACGTGGGATGCCGACTCTGGTCTAGAGGTCGAGTGTTCTCGCGAGACCAGAGTTCCTGGGTTAGAGTCCTGCGTATAGGATCTTGGATGCTCACTGCTGAGGAGTTTTGCAATGGGACAGAACGACCGTCTAGTGCTTCCAGGTTTTCAATGGTGATCTAGCTTAGATCAACTCGTGATTTCAATGATGCTCAACAATCTCCACAACTTCATACTGAAAGCTAGCAACTTCATGGACTGATGACACATTTTGGCTTCGCCCTTTTAGCTTTTTTTTCAACCTGGTGCAACTCCTGTTAATCCACTTCAACGTAAAGTTTCATTCTGCCAAGTATCAAATTCCACTTGTCTGTATATATTCATATTTACTTTATTTCTTTTATTATGGATTCATGAAACTTTTAAATTCGTTGCAAAGTATGTTGTACAGTTTAACGATTTTTCACTACATTGACTCCAAAGCAGGGCTTAAGAATTCTTCCTCTCCTCTTCCTAATCTGTTGTGTGTTTTCACTCCACATCTATTTGGATCTTTCATAAACATAAACAATACAATATAAACGGTTCCTGAAATATTTTCTTACGTGCTTATGTCTGTTACCCCTTATGGAGTAGCATAGGCCTCCCACCAGGATTCTCTGTAGAAAATAACCTTGCTAAAAATAAGCACTAAACAGAAATATCTCTTTACTAAAAGTTAATTACACATGTTCATATGTGTATATAATACCTAAACGTTTTTAAATCGTTTATCACAAATGAAATAATTGATGAGATGAGTTGTTTGATATTATCACATGTGATTTATGTAAGTAATGTATCACATAAATGTAATTCAATCTGTATTAATGCATAGTGTGATTATAAATACAAGTTAGAAATGGTTAAATCCACTTTGAATAAACATTATATCAGCTAATGTTATCCTAATTATAGTGATTTATAAGATAAATTTACAAATGATTAATTACCGAGTACTTAACAAAGTTATGTTTCTCTACTCTTTCTTAGTTCTGATCGGATTTTATCGATCAAGTTACAATATGGTCGTTAATCTAAGCGATTCAACATCCTTTGCACCATGTCGACTTGTTAGGTGGTTTAAAAGTAGTCGAAGAGAAACTCTTCTTGACCTGAGTTTCGTGTTATTTGCCATTCATCATCAAGCGGTAGCTGTATTCTTAATCAAATTGATATTTCCTGTGGGATTCGAACTTATATCTTTCATAAGAACTTTTCTTTAGGTTTGAACGAATAGTTTCACAGTAGTAGGGGTCCGAGTTCGTGTAAGACATTAAGAAAATTATGTACGTAAAGAATCTCAGAAATTAAACTTTAATGAAATCTAACATTTCACTTGACAATTTGGCTCAAGCATTTTCAGGGAAATTTAATCAAACACTAAAATCATCGAATATAAATGATTATATGGTTCTCCGGTTAACTGTGTGTACTAAACCAGTCATCCAATCATGTTAACAATGCTGAAAATAAGAATTTACTGTAGTGAGTATGAAAAGTGTGGTATGAAAAGGGGAGGAAATTGTGTTAAGATAACAGTTGTATATATGTATGTGTATGTAGATCTGATGCAAAAAAATCCATTGACTAACATCATCGCTGACTAAGGATTTTCGACTAAATTAGATAATTTGATAAATTAAGTAAATCAAAAATGTCACAGCGTGAATAAAGACAAGTAAACAAAAATAATTGTTTCTGAGATCGTGGAGAAGATTCGTAGCCCAGATGGATGATTCTGATGAAGTATTGTTCTCTGAGCTGGATGGTTTGGTAGTGGAGCTTTCATCGTTCTTCTGAACGACATCACCGGCACAAACTTCAGGTAGAAGTCAAGTGTTCGAATTTCTCCACATATGGTTCACAGCTTGTCCTGTACACCTCAATATTGATTGGTTCTTGTTAACATTAAACCTGTCATTGTTTACTTCTTTGTTTTGGTTTGATTTTTGTTCCTATGTTTGTGCATAATTTTCCTGATTGGTTGATAAATTGGATCGATCTCAATGTGCTTGTTTATTGCTGACTGACCTGAGTGCCAAGCTTCTAAAAATTCTCTGATGTTTTTGGAATTGCCTCTATCCAAAATCCCCACATTTTCCAGTCGAATGTGTGTCCGCAGTTATCCACGTGCATTGATATAAGTGAGGACATGTCATGATGTCTGACTGCTAATTGATATTCATGCAGGCAAACATGAAGAGGGCGTCCACTTTGTCCGATGTAGTGTTTTTTCGCAGTTGGCACAATTTATTTTTTAGATAATGTTTGGTTTGTCTTCTTTTGTCATTTCATCTTTTGGTTTGCATAGGATTGATTGTAGGGATTTTGTTGGTTTGTGTGCAACACCTATTCTGATGGTTTTCAGCGGTCTCATTATCGTTTCTGATATACCTTTTGTATATGGTAGGGCAATCTTTCTTTTATTTATTATCACTATTGAATGAACTACTTCTATGAATTCTGTGTTCATCTTGTTGTGCTAATGAAGTATGGCAACTTGGACCGATGTATCTGTGTGTCTTATCCTACGTTGTAGCTGACTGACACTTAATGTTCCTGAATTTACTAAATATATGACATTAAATCAAATGATTATTATTATTACTGTAATAATCATTATTATTATCATTACTATTACTGTAATTATTATTACTACTACCACTATTATTAATTAATTAATGATTGACAATCAATCTCATACTTTCATCCATCATCTGACGTTTAATAATGGTCATAATATAGACATGATAATAATCATTTAATCTATTTATAATTTATTCTATCAGACAATTCAATTCAGTAATTCATTCATGATTATTCCTTGATTTAATTACCTATCACTTTATTAGAATTCAATAGGGAATTCTTTTATTCATAGGGGAAAAAATATAAATATATATTCCAATAATTAGTTCCTTCTTCTATTCAGTCTTCTTTTCTTATATACAAGAACGATTAATAACTTTTGATTATCAACTGTAAACAGTCTGTCATAATTAATGTTGAATATGGTACAGTTGTGAGTTTGATCTATCACTTAAGTACAATAAGATGAAACGAAAAACAAAAGTAGAAATAATAAAGAAATTAAAATAATTGTATAATAACAATAAGAACATGAATGATTAAATTCAGTGAATATAGTTTACGAAGAATGAATACAAAGGTATTCATTAAGCAATGATTGAAACTCAAGACCTAGAATAGGAAAAAAACGTAAATGTAATCGATCATGAACCACTTCACTTAACATCTCCTAAACCTAGTAGTCTGGATATACCAGTGTGGTGTATTTTACTTATGTTTACATAAGTCACATAGTCACGGCTCGGATAGCTCAGTGATAACGTCTCTGACTGTGAAGCTGGGTGACACGAGATCGAATCCGCCAAAGAGCACCAGTTCCCTCAAGATTACAGGTACACCTTACTGACGAGTGCCAAATAGCACGAAACCCGGGTCCATGGTTTCCTGTTGACTACCTCCAACCACCATCTAAATCTCAATACATAGTGCCCGCATTGTCGAGTCACCTAGACTGGTGGCCACATTGCAACATGATCGATAGCATTCGATCTGCACTAATAAGGACTAGACAAGCAAGACATTGATCACCACCCAGTGATCAATCAATTGTAATTACATAAGTAGTATATAACACCAGTCAGAAGTGGAATGCTTGACAGCAGAAGGTTGGGAAGATTGAATCGAAAAGAACGGGAATAGAGAGTAATTGTTATGACGATGAGTAAATGATGAAGTTTTAGACATTTGATGGAGGATTTTCAAATGAAGTTTTGCACGTATATAGTTTTCACATTTTATCAAAGAACTCTGTAATTTCGTAGCCCCACCTGTGTGTTCTCGTTCATTACGCCATCAACATAGCTCATGAACTAATGCCACGTCTCAGCTTGCCTACCCGTCAATCTCAATTGTCCTATGTTAAATATCATTGCCAAGGTTCGACTTGATAATTTCAAATAAATTGAGCATTGGGCA